AAGACAGCACCCCAGACCTTTACCCGCCCGATGTCCCAGTGAAGTTCTACAAATCTGGCGACACACCCACCACACACACCACACACACCACACCCCACACACACCACACACACCACACACCACACACACCACACCACGCATATCGGATTATTAGACGCACCTACGACGTTCGCTTTGAAATACGGGGAGCAAGCGGTCGCAGTGCGTCTTATAATCCGGTTACGAATTCACAAGCGGCGTTACGTAGCGATACTCGTGGTGTGCGCAACACTGTCCATCCACTCCTGCTGGTGCGACATACTCTCCATGCCGTGTGGGTCATTTGGGGGGTGGGGTGGGTGGGGTTGTTTGACCATACTTCACCACGCTGGTCAGCGCGCATCGGTGGCGAGGGTGGCCGAGGGAGGGCGAGGTTGGGGTGAGGGTATCACGGGACAGGTTCAGATCGTCGCTTGTCACTCGATGCTTGCCGTGGTCCGGAATCAAACTCTGGAACCGCTGGGTTCAGAGGGCGGCGCGCTTAACCACTGCGCCACCGCACTTCGCTTTGCATGATCGGGGCACGTTGCATACCGCGAGCACCCACGTGGGCCGGCACGGCGCACGAAGGCGGTGGCTGGAGTAGCGAATGCCGCACCCGGCCGCCTTTGTCTCTCCAGTGCGGCTGATTACACGCCGCATCGAGTACGCATTTGAAGGTGAAACTTTCTAGGGTGGAGGTCCAGGACAGGTTAAGGTAACACGTACCACTGATATTGTGAACTGCGAGCATACATACTTTATATACACACACACTGTATGTTGAACTTCTTTCACGCCCTACGTATCCAACCGTGCTAACCGGCGGTGTGTAAATGCGTGTCTGAGTAGGCACGCAGGCAGCGGTGTCTAACCTAGGCCGAATAGACTGTCGGGACAATTTGCTGCGAGCGAGGACATTATAAAGTGGTTTTATGAATTTTTTGCCAGGGGAGAGCGTTATCACATGTTCGATTCCCAGCCACGCTTCACATCAGCGGCGAGTGACGTCTGCAGCAAGCGTTTAGTTTCACTTAGAGTATTTTGGCTGCTACGAATGTCCACATGGTGATAAGCCACTTCGTTGAGTCATCGTTTGTGATGGCCAGGTAGCTTCTGAAAAATAAGCGAATAAGCTCACTGATGAAGCTAGTTGTAATTACTGGCGAAACGTCGTACTTAGATTGTAAATGTTGTGGCTCTCCAACACACCGGTTAGTGCTGTACTAGTCACGAATTGGCCACGTTCTGATTTAAAGCTTTCGTGACTGCAGTACATCATATTCTTAGCTCGTTCGGTAAAGTCACGTTTGAAGGGAAACAATAAAATAATAAAATATATATAAAACAATAAAAAATTATCACGACGTTTAGACCATAACACCTGATGACGACCGTTTGTGTTATGGTCGAAACGTCGTGAGAAGTTTTTTTTGTTTTATATATATTTTTTATTTTATTGTTTCCCTTCAACGTGACTTTACCGAAAGAGCTAAGAATATGGCCACGTTCTGTTTACGTGACAACCCTTACTAGTTGGCTGTGTCGGGTGGTGGCGAGTTTAACGACACACATATTTAAGCGATCTAACTAAAAAAACTCTATTATGGATGATATTGTTGAACCAAGCTAAGTGGGATTTACCTGCTAAAATAAGAGTTTAGTTTCATTTCTGAGTGATTTGTTTACCTGTGCTAGACATTGCGCCCCTATCGTGTTTACGTATTGTTTGTTGTTGCTGTTGCAAGGTTCTGAACCGCCCCTACTGGACATCTGTAAAAAAAATAAAAAGAGCTTTATAGCTCATCGGATTCCTCCTCTAGTATAAGATTCGGATTCCGATTCTGAACCAGTCCTCCCGCACCTCCCCCCCCTCCCCCGCCATGTTCATCAACCCGCACTGACGAACGAGGTGAAGTATGGTCAAACCCCACCCCCCTACCAACCACCCCTTACGACCGCCACAGCATGGGGGAGCTCCGTCATCCAGAAGTTGATTAACAACGCTCTGCACATCACGCTTACTACGCTACATATATACCATAATCGTGCCATTCACACAAATCGTTTCTGACGAGTCACGTGGTATACACGCTTATTGCAACCGCTCCCCCAACACGTGGCTCGCACAGCGCGCCCATCAACAGCAGAATGAAACCAACGGTGCTGTGCACAATGACACTGATCTCGAGAAAGAGGAACGCGTGGATGAACAAGAAAACTTTTGTACGCAGGTTTAATAAGTGCGCATTAATCGCCCAGCTGTCACGAGAGCGGTCCGCGGGGCACTTTGGCAGGATGCACGGAGCGGCTCGAAGGGATATCTAACCGTGGCAGGGTGGTCGAGGGTAAGTGACGGAACGGCAGCCCAAGGTCGTCGAAGCGTATGCGAGGGGACACGTCGACTCGGGAGATGGAGCGACGGAATCTGCGCGGGCGATTGTGGTCGCGCGGACGGTTCGCCTTCGTCCCAGCAGTCGATTTGCCGTGGCCGACTGTATAATTATACAGAGTTCCGTACCGCATACAGCACTCCTAACAAGGGGAATTTACTTGTCAGCAAAGTGTCTGGATTTCCCAGCAGCAGCATCGTCATCATCAGCAGCAGCCTCTATATAAGAACATCACAATCGTCAATCATCATGATGCATCATCATCATCATCGTCGTCGTCGTGGTCAATACGTGTTTATCGTATCTATTAATCATAATCATACTCAGCGTGCATCATCATAATCCGTCTCAATATTCCATGGTAAATTAAGCGCTGGTTTGCAACGGGAGGTAAATATTGTCTTGCTCGCCAGAGGGCGGTAGAACCCACCTGAAACCATTCCACGTCCCTCTTAAATAAAGATCGGGCTCGGGATCTTTTAATCGGTTCTTTATCTCACATTCTTCGGCTTGTTTGCCCAGGAAAGCCACACTGAGTCACGTGACTCTTTTCAAGAGGGTCCTGCCAAGTGTTCACAGCTTTGGGTGGTGGGGCTGATGCTCAACTCAACTCCAAATGGATTCATTTGCGGGGAACACTTTTTTTTTTAAAACCAAATTCGGACGACGACGCCGCCGCCACACAGCGGCAAAACAAAACGAATGCCGACACGAGATCTTTAACGTCCCTGTTGTTGTTCTACGGCTAACACGACCCCGCGGCATTAATCAGGGCGGCCGCTTGATTCGAACCGTCAACCTCCGCAACAAGCGACGGCAATTTTAACCTTGGCACCGCTTCTTGGATTGCCCCCTTTTTTCAAAAGTAGGAGCCGCGCTGCGTGTACGGCATTACCATCGTGTCCGCACGATGCACGTAAAACAACGTACAGCTTCCTTGACACGTGTGTACGTACACACGTGTCAAACAATGCGTTTGTAGATATCCGTCAGTGAATGACCCCACTATCGCTTGCATGCAAGGGACACGCGAAAGTTAGGCAGCGCTTATTACGAGTCACGGGGAGTGGGGGGTGGGGTGGTATGCCAAGTGGCCGCGCATTCTCGACCGCCTTTGTCGCTTTCGGCTGAGTCGATCTAGGAGAGAGACAGCCCCAGCGCGGGTTTAGATGGTGGGACCGAAAGAATAACAAAAAAAACGACACCCGGTCGCCTTTGTCTCCCCAGTGGCTCGGTACGTTATCGACCACGCCGAGTACTAACTCAAGGCTCAGTCGATCGATATCTGGAGGCCCAGATATGCGCCACCGATGTTATCCGTGACAGGGTTCGGTACCACCACTCCCCAGACGTACCCAACAAGAGCATGCAGTATAGACACAAAGACAAAGATCCCCCGTATAGCCTTAACATACTATAGGGGCAAGTTCTGTTAGTGATCACCTATGAAGGCCGGAACAATACACGAGGGGGTGGGTGGCCAGCACCACGCAATGTTCACACATCGCACTCAGTACTAATTTGAGGCTGAGTCGACCTAGGGGATGCCCAGGACCGGTTCAGATAATCGTCACCGGTGTTGGCCGTGAGCGGGAATCGAACTCGGGTTCGCCGGGTTCGTAGCGCAGCGTAGCGCTACCCGCTACACCACCGCTCCCCACTACACACACGCTCACACGTACACAAGACGCGCGCGTGATGTTTCAAATCCCCGTGTACTCATCATGTACGAGCATTTTAGACCGCAAGGGAATTCCTGTACTAAGTCACGCGCGTACAACAAACAGCCTTGACATGCGAAATACTGAAGCATAAACCACCACGAAAATGCACACTTGGAAACACACTCATTTAATACGATGAATACATATCCAAGTACATATAAAACATTTTTTTATCTATGTATGTACATTTGTTGAACATTTAGAAACTATAAGTCAACGTTAATAGACATTCTTACCGGACGGCGATGATGTTTACATTTGCATGAATGCATTAAAAAGAAATAAACAGCCACGTAACAATACAGAGCCGTTTGCATATCACACACACGTATATACTCTACGGATTACGGGCCATTGCATTGCATTCCTTGAACGCAGCGTGTAAAAGCGCTGGCTGACCGACCAACCTTCCGTCCGACTGACTCGCCGAACGTCCAAACCGCTCACCGACTGCACCGCTGTCTGACCAGTCGACTGGCCGATTGACGCTCGCGATTGACCGACGAGCCAAAGGTTTAAACGATTCACTCTCCAGCCGGCTATCTCGGCTGGGCTGCTTCGCTATGCCTCTGCCTTCAGCCTCCAAACGGACGAAGCCAACCCGCCGAAACTAACGAAGAGCCCACCACTGAAGTTGAGTCACGCTAGGCTCGGGCACGGCTCCGCCGACTAAGATCGCTGACTGCAAAAACCGACTGGCCGTGTGGCCTTGGTATGTTAGCCCGGCTGTTAGCCGGCTGGCTGGTCCGGGCGTTCGACGAGAAAGGGCACAGAGTGAGAGAGACGTCGATTCACAGCCACCCTCTCGTCGTGACGTCAGCACGGATATAAAAGGGCTTTGCAGGGGAGAGCCGCTCCTCACTGCTTCACTCGCAAGCACTATTGTTGTCGGCTACCCTTCACTCTCTCTCTCTCTCTCCCCCTCTGTGTGTGTGTGCACAACAAGACACATCACCCCAGCAGCAGCAACAACAACATAATAACAATAGATGCTTTCGTGTTTTTTTTAAATCAAGCACAATCCTACGAGCTTCGCATTAGCGACGAGAAAGCGTGCGAGGAAAGTTGGTGCAAGTCTCTCAAAGTAAACATAGTGTTTGTTTTTATTTTAAACAATTTTTGTTACTTTTTTTCGAGTCACATTTAAAGGAGGGACATTTGTGGAAGCATGTAAAAAAGTACGTATACTTTTTCTCACGCTATTTTATATCAACGTTGGTGATGGTGGTTGCAATAATGCTAATGATGGGCGCAATTTTAAATTAAACGTGGAATGTACAGTTTTTTAAGAGTGTTAATTTAGATAAACCCGTTCATATACCCCGTATTGCTGAGACTCCTTTACTAAAAAAAAAAAGTTCTAAACAGTCTTAGAAGGGACATTCCTGGCGGAGTCATACAATAACATCAGCAGCAGCAGCAGTACCACCAGGACTCAAAACAACAACAACACTTAGAACCTCTAACTAAACTTCGATCGCCGTATCTCCTTGAATTGAGACACCTTAGGATTTGTAAATTCAACAACAACGAAAACAAAGCCATTGTTTACTTTTTGTCTCACCTTGGGCAGTTTCCATCGAACAAGGGGCGAAAGATTCCGCCGCTGCACCAGCGTTGGCCATCGCCCGTAAACACCGCGTGCTGGCACCACCATCCGTGACCGGTCACGTGACCCAAACCTTGACTCACGCGGGGCACGGCCACGATGGAGGGCTGAGCGCAGCGGGGAGCGATGGCAGCGGAGATGACCCTGAGCTGTTCAAGTTCTCCGAGCGGCCCTCTCGCCATGCAGTACGTGAACGACTTTGACCTCTTGAAATTCGAAGTCAAGAAGGAGCCAATGGCGAACGTCGCCGACCTATCGGGACCAGACTCCCCGCCCCGGAATGGAGGGGGCTGCGGCGGTGGTGCTGGCGGTGGTGCTGGCGGTGGTGGCGGCGGTGGTGGTGGAAGTGGCTGCATTCGCCTTGGCTCAATCTCCTCGACGCCTTGCAGCTCCGTGCCCTCGTCACCCAGTCTCAGCCCGTCGACGGGCCTCAGATCGCATCAGTTGGAGGAGCTCTATTGGATGGGACCTGGCTATGGACAGCAGCAGCAGCAGCAGCATCAACAACATCAGCAACCACCACAGCAGCAGCAGCAGCATCAGCATCTCAACGCGGACCCTCTGAGCCTCACGCCGGAGGATGCTGTCGAGGCGCTCATCAACAGTGGTCACCACGGGACACCTCTACAGGGATTCGATTACAGGGGCCTGCCTCCGAACCATCAGCAGCAGCAACAACATCAGCAGCAGCAGCAGCAACATCACAGCGACCATCAGCAGGCCCCCTATCTCCACGGCCCCGAACTGGCTGAAGGACATCACCACCAGCAACAACAGCATCACCACCACCATCACCCGCAACAGCAGCCGCAGCCGCAGCAGCAACAACAGCAGCAGCACTTGCAAGGTGCCCTTCCTCTAACTGCCCACCACCACCACCATCACAGCAACCACCACCACCACAGCAGCAGCAGCAGCAGCAACCACCACCACCACCACCTGCGTGTCGACGACCGTTTCTCGGACGACCAGCTGGTCTCCATGTCCGTGCGAGAGCTGAACCGCCAGCTCAGAGGCTTCAGCAAGGAGGAGGTCCTCCGACTCAAGCAGAAGCGCCGGACCCTCAAGAACCGCGGCTACGCTCAGTCGTGCCGCCACAAGCGCGTGCAGCAGCGCCACCTGCTGGAGAACGAGAAGACCGACCTGCAGCGCCAGGTGGACGCGCTGCGCATGGAGCTGGCTCGACTCGCCCGGGAGAGGGACGCGTACAAGGCGAGGTGCGAGCGCCTGTCAGCTGCGGTCACCTCCGCAGCAGCTCCGGCCGCCGCTGCTGCTCAGTATCAAGGAGACGAGAGGACGGGGAAAGCTTCCGACGCTTCCTCCGCTGCTGCTGCTGCTGTACCAGCGCCCTCGCCTTCAGGATACTACGCGTGAGAGACAGAGACAGAGAGAGAGAGAGACACAGGGAGAGACAAAGGGGGACGAGAGAGACTCACCCACACACCCCGGTAGGGTAGGGTAAGATGTGACTGCCTGCCCACCTGCCTGCCCACCTGCCTGGCTGCTCACTTCACACCCGATGCTTCCTGGGTGGCCACTGTGTGGTTACTTCACCTGTCCGCACACACCCACCTACCTGCTTGCTCGCCTGCCCCGTGCTACTAACTGCCTACCTGCATGCTCACCTCTATATCCGCATGTCTATCCGTCTACCTGCCTGCTTACCTGTTGTTTTTATCTTTAGCTACCTACCCTGCCGTATTACATCCGCACCTGTATAGCCACCGGTTTATTCGCCTATTTCTCGACCTACCTACCTCTCCTGCTGTGCGGCTACCTGTCTGCCGACCTACCTGCCAGCTTAAATTCTTCCCTAGCTGTATTACTCCCTGCACGCTCGCCTACTTTGCCCATCCACTTAACCGCTCTCCATCCCTTCTCACTCGTCCACCCACATGCCTGGCGTTCCTAACTCGCTCACCTGCTTGCTTGCCTACTTACCTGCTCACCCATCCACACATCTGCCTGTCCACATAGCTACCACCCTACCTGTCTGTCTGCCTGCCTGCCTGTTTGTCGTGTCCACAACTGTGCTACCTACGCCCGATGCCCGGGCATTGTATCCGTGAACCACGTGTGTCTTGGTCTTTTCATAACAGAGCAGCGTGCGCGCACCATCGTGTTAGAAATTGCTGGGGTTTTTTTTTAATACCTTTTTTTTATGAACTTGTCACGTGCGTTTGTGTGTATTTTATTTTATTGTTTAATGCTTAAGAAATGCAATGTTTACCAAACTGCCAGATTAGTTGGTGACGGATAACAACAAAAAAAGTGTACATACGATTCTTCAACCAGCGCACCCTATTCATGTCTTCTTGCCATATTAATATATATATATTTTTTAAATTAATACCACGATTATCGGAGTGCAGCAGTAATACGTACAGTACCGTTGTGCATTGCTGAGCTCTGCCCGACCAGCTCGTTACACGTTCGGCACGTTCATGAATTCGTGAGCAGGGCGCGGGATCGTGCTGCGTGTGAATTGCAGTCGCGTGTCTACACGAAATGTTGAAACTTTTTTTTTTAGCTTTTAGCACCGTACGTAGCCAACCGCGCACCACCAACTAACATTGTGGCCAAATTATTTTAGGCAACAGTAGCAGCACAATAAGATGGCCATATAATATATATATACATATTACTCGTTTCACTCCCGTTAGAGATCATCAGGACTGTACAGCTCAGCCATCAGTGTCTACTGTAATCATTATGATCATCAGAGTCACCACGATCATTAATCCAACGTTTGTCAATCGCTACCACCACTAATTCATGATTATCACCATCAGCTCAGGCTCTCCACTGCTGGATGAAAGTCCTCCCCAAGGCTGCGTGGCAATATAATAATAATAACCACTGTCTGGTACACAACTTAAGTTTCATCATCAGCAGCAGTGGCCAGCCATGATCAATCCACTGCTGGATGAAGGTATGTCCATAGCCGTCCCCATCCCTCGCGATCTTGCCAAGGGAGAGTTTAGCGTGTGGCGGTGCCGGCAGTGGTGGTAGTTGCGAGTGTCATAACGGTGCAACTGGAATCGCGTGTGTGGGCTTGCAGACAAACGTCTCTGTCTGGCGGGTTAATTATCGTATCACACACAGAGAGAGAGAGACTGTGTGGTGAGAGAGAGAATTGGTGCATCAGCCTACAGAGTGTGCGCGGTGACTTGGTGCATAAACAACTCTCTTGCTAAACAGCACGAGCGGGAAAGAAACGCATGACAGGCGGCGGTTTACAAAGCACATGTCCTCGAGTAAATTACACGATCTCGCAGGAGTAGCACGCGTATTATACAAGCACGTTGGCGAGATGTTAACTACCTCGCCTGGTATGCAGGAGGTCTTGGGTTCGATCCCGACCCTGACGATGCCTGCTGTGTATTTGGAGTTTGCGGTGTCTCTGTCTCTCTCTCCCCGTGGTCGCGTGGATTTTTCTCCGGGTCCTCCGCTTTTTACCTCCCCATTTAGAATCGCGTTCAGAGTATTTGGCTGCTGCTATACATTTCCACACGATGATAAGCCCCTTTGTTGAGCTATCATTTGTGGCCAGGTCGCTTCTGGATAATAATAATAATAGCTATATAGCTTAGCGGGCCTGACCTGGTAAAATTAAAAATAAAAATAGTTTAATTTATAGTTTAAGGCTGGCGCACAGCATAACACACACACGGCTAACTGCAAAGCTTCACACGGTGAATGAGTGTTGTATAACTATGCCATTCACAGCTGATGTTTTATTAGGTTAGATAGCCGCGCGAGTAGATCGTTGCGTCGTAAACCCTCCTCCACCCGACACAGCCAATTAACTCAGTTATCACAACTCTGGCTGTCGCCTGATGAGGCTGGTTGTAATTACCGGCGAATCGTCGTACCCGAATTGTAGATGTCGTGGGTTCACTCTCCAACACGCCGGTGTGATGATCTTACTAATTGGCCGTGTCGAGTGGCGGCGGGTTAAACGACACATTTATATTTACATATTTACGCGATCTAAGCCAAAAACAAAACTGTGTTGAGTTAACAATTTGGGTATCCGACTTTTTTTTTCGCTGACAGTTCCAGCGAACATCATCGGGCATCAACCGTCTGATGATGCTGGGACACATTTTGTTAACGAGATCCGACCGCCCCCACCGTCCGCCTCCCCCCCCCCCGTCTCAAGAAAACCAATTATCTTAATATTAGCCGCGAAAGCGCCACGTTTTAAACTGTGCCACTTGAGTTTAAAAGTTTAAAATCGGTCGATATTCAATCTCCAATAACCGGCGAATCATTTTGTCAACCACCGTCGTTTGGATGAATGCCTCCACTCACGCTGTGCGTCGATCGTGCTGGGGTTGAATGACCATACTTCACCACGCTGTTCACTGTGGGTTTGCGGGAGGGTTAGGTGAGGGGGATTCCGGGGCAAGACTGGTTTCAGATAATCGCTCGCCACTGATGTTATCCGTGGTGGCAGGGGGAATCGAACTTAGATCACGGAGTCCGTAGCGCCGTGTGCTAACCGCGGCACCACCGCTCCACTCGATTCAACTTGTGGATATAAATACAGAATCTGCCAATACTTAGTTTTGTTTTACTTTATTGCGATAAAAACACATCCCGTGCATTCTACACTCGGTAAAATCGCGCTAAAAGCCCCATCTAGCGAACGCGCCACACGTACATACATACACGTGATGTAGATTCTACACCTTTGACAAACCTGTGCAGATATTTAAAATAATTGTTGTAATCACTCATAGGCCGCTGATTATATAGTCCCTGCACCTACATGCTGGTCATGTAAGGTGGGGATGGTGGTGGAGTTAGTGTTTTTAATCAGCTACTGACGCGCGTGTGTGTCTCTGTGTGTTTCGCGTGTGTGTGTGTAAACATTGTTTTTTATATGAATTACCACTTTTCACAAAACAATATTTCGTCTGCGCTTACACTCGCAGCAAAATAAAAAAATATATTAATTAGCGTATCCGTCACCGTATTCTCCGGATCGTTAGACGTTCCGGAGAGTAAGAAGACCTACCCCAAACATGTGCCCGGTGTTAACAAAGTTACACCAAAATCTGGCCTCACACACGCACAGCTACCGGATTGTAAGACGCACCCTCTCCGTCCCCACTAAATTTACTCTGAAATAGAGGAAGTGTGTCTTATAATCCGGATAATTCCGTAATGCAGAGGCGGCAAGCGTCGTTATCATATTGCACGATTGCAATAGTGTAGCATCATCCCGGTGGCATTCACGCAATATGCTACACCTTGCCAATGACTCTGTACATTTGAAATCCAGTTCGTTGTTGTTGTTGTTTTATTGTTCTCCCCCCTCCACTTTAATCAAAGCAAATTCTGCTGGGAGAAATGAGTTGAAGAGACAAGGTCGCGAGCCACTTGATTTAAAGTTGTTTCAGAAATTATAACCCCACTTTTACCCAGATATTTGTTTAATTGCAATATACAATGATGGGTCCTGACATCATGAACCACTGGCTTTGGGTGTAATGTTAAGAATGTATTTTTGGTATAGGTGTGGTTGTTATTTTTGTTAAGCATTGCCGAGGATTTTTTCTTGACGCAGCCCAATTTAAGATTTGGCCCAATCATAGCGAAGTGCAATAATTAAGTGTCTCTCAAATCCTGATGCACTATAACCTTGATTATCATTAACTTTAAGATATGATTATCAGGCGTAATGTGTGCATGGCGCTCCGTTGCTTCCTTACCACGGTGACTTTTTACAAGCTGTGAATTCTTTTTGGAGGATTTGGGGGCTCATATTTAGGTGGAAAATTATGAGCGACGGTCAAAAAAAATAATTTACAAATCTCCAAATGCCTCCTTTGTTAATGTAAGACGTCAACTCTTGCTGGTAGCCTTGAGACAGTGTGAGGTGGAAATTCCACATTTCCAATTCCATATTGCCAATTCCAGATTCCCACATGTCTGTATGACAACCAACGTTGACTTGCCAACAAAGTGATACTTATTTTTATCAACACAGGAGGAGTGGATTATGGGTTGATTTCGCCTGTGACCAGGATTGGAATATATTACTTTACTTTTGTGATATGAAATTTGATGCAAACCACATCATCAATATCATCTTGCCAACATTACATTAAACCCAAGTTAAATAATAACGACCGTGAAAAAGCAGACTGATGTTAATTTGTGGAATAATTGTCACATTAGACGCAAGTTTGACATTCCCCTCCCTCTCTCTAAATGTGTGTAATTACAATGCAATTTATAAGATAGCACCGCACAAATACAAACAATATAAAAATATATCGAAATCATAACACAGTAATGCATGGCTAAAGATCCTTTCCTACATTTCTAAATTCCACTCACTTGTCCCAAGAAGATGAGAGTGTCAAAATATGTGTTTGTAAATATTGTACGTTGCACTAAAACAGTCGATAATATTTGGTTTGTTTTACACTGTCGTCGTTTTTATATTAACGACCGCACAGGGGTATTCAGAAGCGGGCGTCATTGTAAAACAAGAATGCAAGTTGTACGATGTGTCCACGGGCAGATCGATTACACGACGAGACCTCGGGAATCAGAGGTCCCAATACCCGATTTTCGCGATGGCGAGATGTGAACTACCTCGCCTGGTATACAGGAGGCCGTGGGTTCGATCCAGACCCTGACGATGCCTGTGTATTTGTAGTTTGCGTGTCTCTCTCCCCGCGGTCGCGTGGATCTATCTCCGGGTCCTTCGGTTTTCCGAATCAACGTGCGTTTCTAGAGTATTTGGCTGCTATACATTTCCACTTGACAAGCCACTGCATGAAGCTATCATTTGTGGCCAGGTCGCTTCTGACTAAAGAGCTACATAGCTCAGCGGGGCCTTAACCTGGTAGAATGAACAAAAATAGTTTGTTTGAAATCTGCTTGCGATGGCAGAGTTCAGGAAGTCTTCCGCCGTTCATGCGAATTGTAACAAAGCCAGCGAAAGCCATCGCGCGTAAACTGGACGCTGCGTGTGTGTTATATCGAGTCGATTTATCCACCACCAATCGATATTTGTACGAAATCATGTTGCCCCCCCCCCACTCCCGAGCGTGCGCTTTTGTTACGTTGGAATGTTTACGGGCCCGACGACTATGATGATAATGATGTTGATTATTTTTGTTTATTTAATTTTTATATTTTTTTACTGTTTGTGCTGCTTTGGTCATCATTAAAATTGAAAGGGAAAACAAACGAAAAATATAGCGAGTGTTTTTTTTTTGGGGGGGGGTTATTTGCTTGATGTTTGCGTGTGTGTTTTTTTTCATTTGCATTGAGTTTCCGTGTAATTTCAACGATTTCTCTCACCTACATTCTCCCACAATCACACGTGCGCGTGTGTTCACGTGCGCGTGTGTTCACGATCGGGTGTGTTCACGATCGGGTGTGACTGTGAAGCATTCCTGGGCCATCGCCGAGAGGTTGACTTGTTCCAAAAAAGTGTTGTTCTAACGTTCTGACCTGAAAAAGAGCTTCATAGCTCATCGGATATCACCAGTATAAAGACAGGTTCCGATTCTGCCAATGAGTATCCTGGTGTACGTCGGTGTGTACACTCAGTGGTCCTGGCCACAACACTCCATCGTGCGCCGTGCCTGCTAACAGCACTTCCACGAAAAGTCTGTGACGGCTATGAAAGGGATCTTCGTCTTCACTCTGTGTCTTGTCTGCGTGCGTGTCACGGCACGTGTCGTCTATCCATCGCGTATACTTTACCCCCCTTCGTATTTTTTATTTACAAACAACACCAAACGCGTGATTTGGAGCGGCATGCAAATCTTGTGGGTGGCGACCGAAGCTGTTCAGTCTTCGGCGTGCGTGGCGTGTTGAGGGCTTCTCGGCACCCTCCTCCTGCGACGGCTGACGTCTCACTCTCGCACGCACGCGCGTACGGACGTTGCGTGTAAATTAACGACGTGCATCGCGAACAAACAAAAGCCTTCTGCAAGTTCAACCCAAAGCCGACAACTCCGGTGGATGAGCGTGGCAGTTAGCGCGCCACGCCGTGAATGTTCGCGTGTCTGTGTACGTACGAGCGTCGGACTTCTGTCGCGTCGTACGTAGCCGACCGTGCACATCGGAGGTGCGGGCAAAGGGACACAGCGGCTCTGATACTGCCGGGCCGGCGACGGCTAACGCCGCTGACGAGCGATGTCTAGAGCAGCTTTGACGAACGCCACCACGTGCACACACTGCCCTCTCGTTGACCAGCCTGCACTGACCACTGCGTGGCGAGGTGCGGTCAAACAAACCCACCGTGACCCCCCCCCCCACATGGCACGCCGAGGCCTACGCGCAGCGGTGAACTCACAAAGGGCTGTGCGCATTGTCGTTACGCTTACGCTCATATACACGGGGGGGGGGGGGGGATATGTAGCGT